CCTATAAACCTAATTTAAAAACCCAAGTGCTTCAAATACCGAAAAGCTACTTCCTGCAAGCCTAAACCCTAAAATGTATTTCTATAATAGCCTAGCTAGGTAGAAGAATCTAAAAGGGATCTAATATAACTTGAATATATATAGTACTCCGCCTTAATAGAGAAAAGGATGAATTTGTACAAGTACAGGTCTTGTATAAAAGGACATGAAGAACCTATCTATCTATTGATTATTAGATATTGCCAAAATAAGCATATAAGCTATATCTAATCTTGCTAGAGAAGGGAAACAAAGTCTAGATGTTTAATTAAAAAGAATGCCAAATCATACTAGACAAGGGGATTCTTGCTAGTGGGATAAGGTTACAAGATAATTATTAAAGTAAGCTTAGAGTAAGCTTATAGAGTAAGCACATAATCTTACTAGATAAAGGAGATCCTTACTAGTAGAGTAGTAAATAGGTATAGGATAGGTTAGGGTTAGGTCTACTTATATTAGACCCTATACCCTACCATAATCTAATCATAGATTTTTATATAGGGTATAGGCTTATCTTAGGTTTAGGTTATATAGACCTTAGGCTTAGCGTAGCTCTAGGGTCTTACGTAATCTTATAGTATGTATATTATAGATAGTATTATAGGCATTTATTATAGTATATAGCTTACTTAATGTATAATAGAACTATATAATTATGTATAATATATATATAGAAACCCTAATAGAAGTCTTTATTCCTAAATTTCTAATAGTAGTACTTTACTAGATCTAAATCCTTAGCCTAAATAGTTAGGCTTTGTGTATAAATTATATTGATATTATAGTCTATGTAATAACGAAGGTAGGTAGGGCATCCAAAAGGTATACTACACGACTTAAAGGCATATAGGAGTGCGCGTCTGTATAGAAAAGGATAAGATTCCTACACCTATAGGTCTTGTACGAATGGACAAGAAGAATATGCCTATCCTAATTATAGGCGAGCTGCTCTCTATATATATTAGTAAGTTAGGCCTTTATTAGGCCTAACTTAGCATAGAATAATAGGCAAGCAATTCTACCTTATTACTTCACTACCCCCTCCTATAGAGAAAGGATAGTCCCTATCCTTATAATTAGGTTCAGATCCTGTATTAAAGAAACGCTCCTACAAAATAATTCTACCTTTACCTCTACCTTTACCTCTACTTCTTATTCCTAGGGTATAGACCCTTATCTATAGCCTACCTATATCTAGCCCTCTACCTACTAACTTTCTTATTCCTATATCCCTATATTTTTAAACTTTTAACCTATATTATCTAATGTCTAGTAAGTATTTAATCTATATAATTAAGCAGTTGCTAATCTAAATTAGAAGTGCTTACTATACTAGTCCTAGTATTACTAGGAGTTCTACCTGTCGCTTATCGCGCCTTGTGTATAAGAGCTGTTAGGGGTGTTACTTAGGGTAAATTTAATAATTTTAACTTTAAGTCTAAGAATTCTAAGAAATACTACTACTATATTTCTGAGAATAAGTTTTATAATCTAGTTTGTATCTAAGTCTAATAGGTTTCTTTTCTAATTATAATAGATTCCCTACTATATTAGCTATAAGTACTTAGCTCTTTAAGGTGCGCTTAATAAGTACTATAGTCTAGTCGCAAAGCCCCCTAAAGCCTATAAAGAATAGGATATAGTAGAGGCTTTTTAGTTAGATATTAAGTAATTTAAGCCTACTACTTAAGACGCTACCTAAACCCTAGCTAAATAAATTATAGTTGCTAATTCTTAGACTAAGGGTATAGAGATTCCTAAGATCCTTCTAGCTACTTACTACTCTACTGTATTTGAATTACGTAAGCTTTATAATAGTATCTTTAAGATAGTGTTAGTAGTTAAGGGTATAACGCGAGCTATTAATAAACTTAAGGAGGAAATAGTAGCAAGTTAGGACGTAACGTAGTTAGCTATAGCTTTACTATCTAAGACTATTAAGAAGGCAACTAAATCTACTCTAACTCCCGACCCTACTCTAAAACTAGCTACGCTAGTTGCTAAACACGTAGTTAAAAAGCCTAGTCTACGCAGGAATACTATTAATTTAGATTCTAATCTAGGTTCTAATAGAGCTATAGACACTAAATAAAAGGGGGTTTCTAGGGGTAGTGTCCTAAAACCCTTAAGAGTTCTAAGATAGGTGTAAATAGGATAAGATAATAAATATTAGCAAGATAGTAGTAATAGATAGTAGTTAATAGCTTAATCTATACCTAAATATAATGTAAATTAGGTTCTATATTAGATATAATTATTGTGAAGTAATGTTAGATCCTCTTTGCATTTTTCTTATGCTTAAATCTATTTAGATAAGCTGCGTAGGGTACCTAGCTAATTTAGATACTATTAGTAAAATACCTATACTTTATAGGGAGCTCCTATAAAGTTAGAGGCAGGATACTAAATAGGATTAGGATTGTGTCTAACCTACTTAACCTTATATTTTAGCTTAGATTAATATAATTCGCTAGTAGATAGCGCCTTTTCTAGTTTCTAATACTAGCTTTACTTTAGTAAGGAGCTAAA